ACATCCATACAGTGGAATCCTAGAGCCATTAAAATAATGAGTTAGGGTTGAATGTGGTAATATGGAAAGTCAACCAAGTTAAACAAAAAGAATAAAGTCACAAAATTGAACATTTAAAATAAGGAAAGACAGTGAGAGGCATATATAGAAAGACATACATACAAAATAAAAAATAACATTTCTGAAAGCCTATACAAGAAATTATTTATTTCTGGGGTGTGAGAATAAAGTCATAGAAGGAGACTTTCTCACTTTACACCTTTTTGTATGTCGCATAATTTTTAAAAATTATAAACATATATAACATACAAAAAACATTTAAAGTCTTTAAAAAACCTGATTGTACCCAAAGCATTCTATGAAAAATTGACTATGTAAAATTAGTTTACAATCCCTTGCTGCCTTTAGTTAATGATCATAAAGTCAAAATTAGAAGGTTCCTTTGGTATTTGCTTCCTCCAACCCTCCACTCACAAATTGAGAGAAAATGCTGAGAATTTACAATTGGAATTTTACTCTCATTGCTTACACTGTAATTTGGATAACATCTCAGTATTTCAGAGAACCAATAAAAAATTAATCTATGGATATTCAAATCAACAATTAAAATATTTTATCCAGGATCACTTTTTTGCAAAAGCCAGATTCACATTTTATTTTAATTAGCCCCTACAGTCTTGTGTGTTGGACAAGCACAGATTTCAAAAATAAATTTAAATATACACTGAATTCTTATCCATTGGAATAAAAAAAGTAGAAGAGAGAGAGCTCATTGGGTATACATTCTTGGCATGTTTTCCATGGATGATACCATTATGAATTCAAACGTTAAACGACTGCCTCCAAAATCAGAATAAGATGTTGCATAAGAACCATTTCCTAACCATTTCCTACCTTCACTATCTATTTGGAATTTGCCAACTCAAAGGCCTTGAAAACAGGTATGCGAACATTTGAGGCTAAGAAAACTGGGAGTGGTAGGCTAATGGCTACCTTAAAAGTACATGCTCCCTTCTAAAGAGTTGGACTTGAAATCCAGCATTTTAAAATACTGTGCTGGTCAAACAAAACTGTAGGCAGAATTCATATAAGCCATGAGTGTGAAACCTCTAAACTACTGCAATAATTCAATTTTTAAAAACCAGAGATCACAATACTTGGGTCTTTGCAGATTAAATAGCTCAGTGCCCGGTATACCTCTAGAAACGAACAAGTGTCCAAATGCTTGCTTAATTAAGAATATAAAACAAAAGCTCTTCAAATACTATCTTTCAGCAGGATATAAGGAACAGGCTAATCACCAAATGATCAGTAACATTAATGAATGTGTTGTGGAATTTTGTGTTGGTGCTGTGCTGGACCAGGCTTACAGAGGCTTGGAAGAGCCACTGGTGTTACCTCTTTCAAGCTGCATTTAATGACATCAGATTGGTAGGTATAATCAGCCACAGCCACAGTACTTATGCCTCAAATATCAGTAAACACTAAAAAGCAGAGCCCTTTTTCTTTCATGGAAGATAATTTTAAACATTCACCAGCATAATATTGGATTACATCGTGGTCCACGATGTAATATATTCATTTGTTCAATTACAAACACATAAAAAGTTTAATTAATGACACTACCTTTTAAAACACACAAAGAAAAATTTAACTAATGAGGACAAATTCAATACAACAGACTAATTTACCATAAATTTTAATAACACCTGTAAAAAGTAAATGTTTAAACTGTATATAGCAAAAAACTATATAAAGTGGAATGCTTTATAAGAATTTTTGTAATACTTCAAAAGCATCTTCAATTTAAAACATATAATATTAATACCCTTATTTACTTCAGAAGTTTTTTTAAAGCCTTAGTGAATAAAATATGCAGATTTCATCAAATTATGAAAGGAACTGAAATGATTAACTTTTTTAGGCATGTAACTTGGTCAGAATTTAAAAATATTAAAAAAGAATCTACTTGTACACAAACACATTTGCATTTTAATCAAAAAATAAAACATTTGTTCCCCAGAGCAAAAGCTGTCACTAGCTTTGCCTCCATATGCTTTGCATCTAAAGTGTAGGTTTGGTGCAGGGATTATAAGAGATAACATATGAAAAGCATTCAGCAAATGTGATACACTGAAAGGGTTTAATAAACCACACCTTTTTATACCACTACTACCATTATTCTGAAGTAGTTGATGTTGAAAAGTTTACAATTTCAGTTTTTCCCACCAAACAAACATAGAAATTCAGGGAGTGGTATGTTTACCCTACAAGTAAATACTATTCCAGAAATATACACATTTAAAATGTAGTGGCTCTCAAAATGTGGTCTGGAAAAACTTGAGGGCTGTGCAAGGTCAAACTATTTTCATAGTAAAATTAAGATGTTATACGCCTTTTCACTCTCGTGCTTTCACAAGTGCAGAGTAGAGTTTTCCAGTGCCTGTAGGCTATGTGATATTTAAAAAATTGGAATGCAAAAGCAGTATGAGAATCTCACTGCTTTTATTAAGTCAGTTATTTTTTAAAATGCACAGAATGCAGAACAATTCTCTTTTCACAAGTTTTTGTTTCAGAAAAGTTATTTTTCATCAAAAAATATTATTTACGTTAGCAATTAATGAATTTATTATTGTTATATTTAAATGAATAAACATGCTTTTAAAAATTTCAGTACTAATTTTTAACACAGCAAATTAGAGCGATACAAGTTATGTAAACAAAAGTTCTTTGGGGATCTTCCAACAACTTTTAAGAGTTATAGTCCTGGCTGGGCTCGGTGGCTCAGCTTGTGATCCCAGCACTTTGGGAGGCCAACGCAAGTGGATAGCCTAAGCCCACGGGTTTGAGACTAGCCCGGGCAACTTGGCAAGACTTCATCTCTACAATAAAGAAAAAATTCTGTGCGTGGTAGCACGCACCTATAGTTCCGGCTACTTGGAAGGCTGAGGAGGAAGGATCACCGGAGCCCAGCAGGTCAATGCTCGGAGGGCCGTGAGCATGCCACTGCACTCCAGCCTGGGCAACCGAGTGAGACTCCAACTCAAAAAAAAAAAAAAAAAAAAGTTACAGTCCTGAGGCAAAATTGCTTCAGAGCTGTTTACAGTGGTAAAAGTGGCAGCCACTTCACCCTCCATGTTGCCAAGTGACAAGAACAATACCAAAGGTGGAGGGCAGGGAACCTCAGAGCACTGATCATGCTTTTCAATTGAACAGAAAGGATTATTTTAAGAAAGAAAGTCAAAATTTAATCTGTACTTTCATAAAAACAGAATAAAATAGTCTCTATTTCAAAAAATGGGGGGGATGCCCTTAAACTATGTCAGCAGAGTTTGCCACTCTAAAAGACAAACCTCTTTCCTGAACGAGACAGAACAATAAAGATATGATCCAACCAGTAAGCCAGTAAATTTAAGTCTTCAGCCTTGTCACTTTCCAGGATTTTTTCTCCTTTCTAGTACTCAACATTAATTTTAATGGTGCATTTGAACTAGAAACAAATAAAAAATAGAAATCTAATGAAAGTTGACTTTCCTTAACAATAAACAGTAAAAACCATGGGAAAGACCACTTTAAAAGCTGGATTTCTTCTTTTACAATCTGTTTTTTACTTTTCAGAGACAAAGTCTTGTTCTGTCCCCCAACCTAGGGTGCAGTAATGGGGTCATATGGCACAGTGTAGCCTCAAACTCTGGGCTCAAGAGATCCTTCCACCTCAACATCCTGAGGTAGCTAGGATTATAGGAGTGTGCCACCACATCCAGCTTGGATCTTTTCTTAAACTAAATATTTCTACTTTAAAGCACTCATTTAAAGTCAGTAAGAGCGCCCATTTAATTATAAACTTCAAGATTCACCCAGAAAAAAAAAAGTCTTTAAAATTATTTTCATAACAACTGTTTAATTTACTTCTCAGATGGAAAGCCTGGCAAGTTATTTGGGCTTTACCTACAATTATATAACTTTGTACATATGAATTAATTGGGACCCAATACAATCTAAACAGAAATTAAAAGACATTTTCCCCCCATGTAAAAGAGGTTGAGGAAGTCCCCCAAAACCTACATCAACACATACTTGGACCTGTGCAGCATTCATTTAATTCTAAAAGGAGAGGGACACTACTCTTTAGAAAGGGGGCTCTGGGATTTTCCAGTCATCCTGCCTATCCAAATGGTTCAGATAAACCATACTTTCAGCTAGACATGCACTGGACAGCAATGTTTAAACAAGTCTAAAACATTTCAGATTTCAAAATACTGTAACTAGCTTAGGCATCATTGCAAAAGGCATTCAACATAAACAATAAACAAATGTTTGAGGAAACTGATATTCACCTTTGTTAATACCAAAGCTTTTAAAAAAGTTTTAATAATTTTAAGATAAAACTTTTCAAACAGGTATACATATTTGTGTATGCAATAATATCTTTTCTTCATGACCCAGAGGCATAATGAAGGACTATTATCAGAAGATGATGTACTATATTCAGTATTATCCTCTAGGCTTGCCGTCCCTATGCTAAATGGTCTTGGCCAGTGTATGCGCCTCAGTTTCTTCAGTCTCCTTCCTTTCAAGTCATCCCTTCCTAAATTGCTAATATGCTATGAGCTGGGAAATAAAATAGTCAAAATTATTAAAATTTTACATAAAAGCAAATGCATGAGCTCTAATACACAAACTTTGTGAATTATGTAGGCTGCCCAGAGGCATTTTTTAAAAAACGATTCCAAGTTTCTCAGTTGTGCACTGTTCTGATGAGATTGCAAGGTTATCTCTAGATAAATGAGGCATTACTGTACATAAATAAACAAGTTCATCAGAATATTAACAAAAAAGATATAACTAAATTTACTATCTTTGCGTTTAAACAAAGTATTCCATAACTTTAAGGTAACATTGGGTTCCAGTTTCTTTCTCCCCCAAAACAAACATAAACAAATGTCCTATAGATAATATCAGTTTGTCCAAAAAAAAAAAAAAAATGAGGTGCAATCATATCACAGTTAATGCACGTCTACTTCCAATACATTCGAAGACATTTAAAAAAAAAAATCAATAGTTAAAATAGGCCTTTTGCAGTCTGAGAATTCAAGATACTTAGAAAAATCTGTAAATACACATACATGCAAATTCTTCATATATACAAATTTCACAAAATTAAGAAGTTGCAAAGAAATTAGAAGGATTATGGTAAATCTAACAAGCTACATTTAAATGCTTTACCATTGACATATTCCTGAATATAGCAGTCATAGTAGTTTTAATAATAAATTTTCTACATGGCCTTTTTATAAAAAGTTAATCACTAGAAGTCTTTTAAGAATTCAAGATGTTCTCAATTCACTACTCATATTTAAGGCCACTTTGGTAAAGGCATTGCAGCAAGAACACAAAAACAATAGCATATTTTCTAATATTTATTTTTTTCACCTGCAAACTGTAGCAAAACATGATCAGCTTTATTATGCAGACAGTATCCCTCTACATTTTTAAAGAATTTAGGCATGTATAAATAGAAGAGCTCTTTAGAAAGGAAAAATTCAAGAATGAATAAAACCTTCCAATTTTGATTTTGTAACTTTCCAGTAGCAACGGTTAAAATGATTTAGGTCATTCATTCCAAGATATATGACACAGCACCTTAAAAGTGGCTGATCTATTTCCCCAGTAACATTTCTCACATAACAATGTGTTAAAGTTACAAATACTGATATGCACAAATAGCTAATTTCTAAGAAAAATATGTACAGTACTGCAGCATAATGAATGTGGTATCTGCAATAACTTAACATTAGCCAATTTTTAATATACATGATACCGCTACCTTTTTCTGCCAATTCACAGGTTAAAAGGTGTTACTGGAGCCCTCGGTTTTGCACATATTACCTGGTGTTTAATACACAATGCAGGCTTTTTAAAGACTTCTCTTGTGTTTAAAGCTAAGATCAGTGAAACAAGACAACAGTGCAAGAGGTGGAGAGATGTAATGTGACCACATAAAAGTTCGTTCCAGTAAAGTGTCTATATAAGGCTATAAGAAAGGATTGGTTGATGAGCTTCCTGTTGGAAACTGTCCTGTCGGTGCACCAGTCTAAAGGAAAACATAAGACAAATAAATTAACAGACAAATAAAAGTGATGGGTGTACAAAATAAAAACATTAAACTGCATTTAACTTAATCTGATTTAATTAAACTTTTAAACTTAGATTTTATTAAGGCAAGGTTTATTCAGTTATTGGCAACATGGTACATAAAACTATTATGTGTCAGGCACTGGCCTTGTCTTTCAGACAACTCTCATAATAGATTCTAAGAAGGGACTTGGCCCTGAAAGAAAAGCACTTGTGATTCAAACAAAATCTTCTTTCACAATGCTCACTATTCCCACAGCCTTTCATGAAGTACTACTTTGACAAGAAATCAGGTATGTTTTGTGTCATAAAATAGCTTATTTGCTGTCAATGCTTTGATTTGCAACTAATTTTTTTTAAAGGTCAGAAAAAGATCATGCATGATGGCTCTGTCTCAATTTGTATGTCACATCAACAGAATATCAAACAGTATCTAGGAGTATTAATTAACATCCTGTTATTGTTAATTTGAAAATAAAATGCAACTTATAAAAGTGCTTAAAATTCACTTTTACTTACCATAAAAGGATTACTAGATACCCCAGTAGCTGCAACTTGACCAAAAGGGGTTACCACTGGCTTTGTTTGTCCAAATGCTGCAAAACCTGCACCTTGTTAAAAAAGAACCACCAATTATAACCTATACTTTCAAGAGACAATCTGATACTTACAAAGCCTCACAGCATTCAGAGAAATTCCTACCAGAGCAGCAAAAATAAAATATAAAGGTTAAACTGTTAAGTTTCATGCTCTCTCATATACCAGAGACGAACGTCTTGTGGCATGTCTTAAAAGAATTTTCATTTGGCTCTCTTCAGAAGATTAATTCCAACATTCTTAGGGCTTAATTAACAGACAAGCTGGTGACTATTTGGGAGGGGCTATACAAACAACACTATGATTTTTATGTGAATGTCACATTATTTCTTAGGAAATATTTTATTACTTATGGCTCTTTCATGGTACATATTTTCAAATTTTTAAATAACCACTGACTTTTAGAAAGGAAAACATGTAGTTGTAATTCAAGAATAATCTTCAGATCTGTGGACTTCAAACGTTAGCAAATGAGAGAAACGGTTTTAAAAAATGGTCCAGTGAATCTCTTTCTAAAAACAAACAACAAACTCCAATTACAGTATAGTACATATGTAAATTAGAAAAAAAATTAGTATCTCTCTCTCTCTCTCTCTCTCTCTCTCTCTCTCTCACACACACACACACACACACACACACAATCTTTACATAAAAAAACACACAAGGAACATATTTAAGATTAGAGGAAAAAAATATTCTTGGTTTATAAAGTCTTGTTTTAAAATCAAGAGGCATATTAGAACATGTAAGATTAATTAATAAGAAAGACAATAGAGATTCCAAGAATGAAGGCATACTCTTTAGACTGTCATGGATTTCTCCTAAAACTATAATTTGGTCACAAGAACTTACAAAACCAGTCAGTTTTCTAAGGCCCAAATCACCAAAATCTTCTATTTTTGTGTAGTAAACACTTAGTACACAATACCACAGCATTCTTTGGAAAATTCTTTGTGCCCAAGCACATAACATTATATTTTATTTTTATTTATTTGTCTGTTTGTTTTTAATTGAAGTCTCACTCCGTCGCCCAGGTTGGAGTGCACACTCATGGCCACCCCAGCATCTACCTGCTGGGCTCTGGCGATCCTTCCACCTCAGCCTTCCAAGTAGCCAAAACTACAGACATGCACTACCACCCCCAGCTAATTTTTTAATTTATTCTAGGGATGAGGTCTTGCCACGTTGCCCAGGCAGGTCTCCACCTCCCAAATTGCTGGGATTACAGGCTGAGCCACCGAGCCTGGTCTAACAAATTTTTTTTTAAAAACATACCTGAAATGGGCTTACAGCAAGCCAGTGTTAGATCTTACCATTAGGCTGTTGAGAAAAAGCTGTTTGTTGAGGGAAAGCTGCTTGGGCTGGGAAAGCAGGCTGCTGGAAGCTGCCGCTAAAGCTGGTGGGAAGACTATAGGGAGCAGGGGTGCCGAACCCCGTAGGCATGCTCATGGACGCAGTGCCAAAGGTTGCCGCTGAGAGGAGAAAAGAAAGGCTGATCAGTTACATACAAAAGGGTGTGCTCATTTCTCATACTCAACATTGTAGAAAAGACATCATTTACCGGGAAAAACATTAAGATGTACAATAAAGGCATTTTAGCAACGAGTTTTAGCACTATGTAGTTTAACATAATCTGTTCCTGTAAAATCCAACAACCAGAATGAAAACTACTAAAGCTGTCATCTAAAATCTCAAGAAAAGTTCTCAAATTATATAAAGTTCAAGTCTAAACAGTAATCTGCTTTCTAAAGCCCATCAGCATGTGATTCACATATATACCAGTATACACTTTTGTTTTCAATTTTGCTTTGCTATACAGTAAAATAGTAGCCAAAACTTTAATTTTATCTACTGAAGTATTTGCTATAATACAATACATGTGTTTCTGGGGCGAAAAAAAACTTTAAAACCTCTGCAACATTGTTCACTAAAAATAACAGGACTTAAAGGACAAACAGTAAAGTAAAAGGCAGATCACTCAGAACCTATGCAGCTTTGTAGCTAGAGCCACAGAGAGAGTGATTCTACTAACAGCACTTAACACAATTAAAAGGATATGCTAAGTTCCTATTAAATCAATTATATATATATTTTTCCATCTTTTCTGAATAGTAAGCAAAGACAGCTCTGGAAGAGGGCTGAAGGAAGGTTAAGGCTACTGGGCTATGGAAATTCATGTGAAATGCACAAAGATTAGAAAATAAGTGCAATAAGCGCTCTTAGAAGAGGTAAACAATGAATGGTAAATGGGCATGATGTTCAATACTATTGTACTCCTCCTTGGCACGTCATGTCTAGTTGCTATTACTTGTTGGACAGAGCATTATACTTGGGGGAAGTTAGTATGTGAACCGCTGCTATGTATGTAGTATGCTGTCATCACTCCCCCATCGACTCATCATTCCTGAACTAATGTGCACTATAGAAACACATACAGTAGCAAAAGTGTTATTTTTTATTAGTGAATAATAAAATCAGAAACTTCCAACTACATGTTCTAGGAAGGGTGTCAGTGAAATACGAGTCATAATGTTGCTTTCATATAAACTAGTAATCACATAATAAAAATATTTTTAGCACAATGCTACAAAAAAGTCACAGTTCATTGAACTTCCTGATTTAAACAATTTACCAACTTGATCACTAATTTAAAACACAAATTAAATACTAAAAAATGTTACATAGAATTACATCTCTTATTTTTAAAAAGGCTGAAAGCAAGATATTGATGTTAACCAAAGTAATCCTCATAAGTTGTAATGTTTGTAACAATGCAATTTTGCACTTAATTAGAATATCAAACTTCTTAGAAATGACTGTTTTATTATTAATGAAAAAGGAAGGAAAAACAGGGCACTGGGAAGCAAGTGAATTAAATAATAAGCACACTGCAAGGGAAACAGGGAGGGTTTCATAACAGACAACAATGCATTGACATAACTTTGGCAAATCACTTTAGGAAAGCACTAAAAAGCAAAACTTGGATACGGCTGAGCAAAACCAAACTCCATGGAATAAGGTGGTAAAATGGTTTGTTATATCAAAAAGGCATCACTCAAAGAAAAAGAATCAAAACAGCTATTAACATTCTAATGTGACCATGGAGGTAAGCAGTAATGCTTTTCAGCATCAACACATAAATCACTACAAAAGATTTTAATGTCATTTTAAATTCAATGTAATCCCAAAGCCACACATCCATGCCCACTCCATTGTAAAACATGGAAAAACTTAATTCCACATGCAGGGATCCAAAACAGTAGCAGAAGCTTCCACAAGCAGGTAGACAAATTGCCACACAAATCTACATATTAGTTGTGGCCACCTACCAAAATGAGCGTGAGGAAACACTTGAGAATGCATTGCTCCAGAAAGGCCTTATGGAAAGCCATAAAAAGACCAATGTCAATTCATGTATTGGTAACTACTGTTAAAATAAATTAGTTTCATTAAAAAGTTCTAAAATTAGAATGTACTGTTGCCAAGCAGGTAGCATAATATATAATAAAAACACATTCACAAAATAAGGCTTTTCAATTCTTATTATGAACTATATTCGTGACACTTACAAAATTTATATTGTTCTAAATAAAGGGAATAGAATTAGAATAATAACACCAACAAACTCCTTTTTTAAAAAAATAAGCACAAACTTTTTTCTAATATGAAGACACAACTAAATTAATAAAAAATGCTTTTCAGGCATCATAAGCTACATCTGAAAATGCTATTCATAGGATCATCTAAAACTATCTATCATCTACATTTAGCATAAAAACTTCAAGTTTTGGGAGACAGCACCTGAACAATGCTAGACTGTCTTATTTACAACCTGGTACATTAATTAGAAATACATAACGATAATGCAAGTGAACGAATTAAGTAATGAAGGGAAGTTATTAAATATTCTAGTTCATTCGAAAGGTGAACAGTACTTTCAGCTTAAAATATAATGGCGAAGAGAAGGAAAAAATGCTTCTTGTGCAGATCTTACTTACCTGGAGTGTTTGAGGACAGAGACGTTAATATATGTAATTAATAGAAAGTAAACTTAAATTGTTAAATACTAGAACCTTTTGTTTTAACAATTTGAAGTGGGACTGTGTCTAAAATATATTTCCATGCATTTTAAATTAGAATACATTTAAAGTGAGCATCAATTTTGGGAACCAGAGTGATTAAGAGACTGAGTGGCTCTGAGTTTTGGTTCTGTCATTTCCTAGCTGCAGGATATTTCTTTATGTCTATAAGCCTCAGTTTCCTCATTTGCAACTGGGGGAAAGGGATGGACTGATGAAGATAATAGTACCTACTTCACAAAGCTTCTGTGAAGATTAAATGTAACAGTAAATTCAAGTGCTGTGTAGTAAATATTCAATGAATGTATTTTTCTTGCTAACTTAAAAAGACGTCACTGGGTTCTGAATACAACAAAAGGTTAATCGAGGAAGAAGCTTCTGTGAAAAAATAAATCTGGTAATTTTACATTTATCTCCTGTATTAGAGCACCTTAAAGGCTCTGAGAAGTCCTGCATTACTAAAAATTGGTGTTTATTCCAACATTTTCCATGTATATTTATACACAGACCCCTTTCCCATGGACTATTGCTAACATATCAGGAGACACATTACACAAAATATACTGGCAAAAACGAACTTTCAGTCAATGGTGACTGTTAACCAATATTAGCCACTACACCTCATATCTACAACAAGGATGTCACCCAAACTCTGGCCCCCAACTACTATAAACTGTTTTTAGACTTTTTAGATTTTTTGAGATGTAATTCACATAATTCACTCATTCAAAGTAAAGAATTCAATTTTTTTTTTTTTTTGAGTTGGAGTCTCACTCTGTCGCCTAGACAGGAGTGCAGTGGCCGCTCCTGGCCACCACAACCTCGACCTGCTGGGCTCCGGCGATCCTTCCACCTCAGCCTTCCAAATAGCTGGAACTACAGGCGCACGCTACCATGCCCAGCTGATTTTTTCTGATGTATTGTGGAGATGAGGTCTCGCCAAGTTGCCCAGATGGGTCTCGAACCCGCAGACTCAGGCAATTCACTCACCTCAGTCTCCCAAAGCGTGGGATTACAGGCTGAGTCACCAAGTCTGGCAGAATTCAATTTTTAAAAAATATATTCATAGCATTGTACAACCATAATAATCTAATTTTAGAATATTTTCATCACCCTTTAAAAGAAATCCCATACCTGTCAGCAGTTACTCCCCATGTTGTCCCACCATATCAGTCCCCAGCAACAACTAATCTACTGTTTCTTTCCCATCTGGACACTTCATACAAGTGGAACCATAAATATGTGGCTTTTTATGACCAGCTTCTTTTACTTGGCATAATGTTTTCAAGGTTCATCCATGTTGTAGCATGTTATCAATACTTCATACATTTCATTATCAAATAATATCCCACCATATGATTAGTCAACATTTGGTTTCATCAGTTGATGGACATTTGAGTAGTTCCCACTTCTTGGGTATTATAAATAATTATGCTATAAACATTTGTGTACAAGTTTTTGTGCAGATGTATTATTTCATTCTTCTTAAGTATATTCCAAATAGTGGAACTGCTAGGTAATGTTGTAACTCTTTGATAATATTTTGGAAAAACTACCAAACTGTTTACAAAAGGGGTTATACTATTTTACATTCCCACAAGCAATATACGAGATTCCTAATTTCTCTACTTCCACACTAATGTTTGTTATTGTTTAATCTTTTATTGACCATCTGTATATCTTTTTGGAGAAATGCCTATTCAAATCTTTTGCCCATTTTAAAATTGGGTTGTCTTTTTATTACTGAGTTATAAGAGTTCTTTATATATTTAAAATACAAGTCCCTTATCAGATGTATTATTTGCAAATATTTTCTCCAGATTATTATAAAGTTTGATTTTTTGTTATGTTACCTTTTACAACTTTCCTGTCTCTTTTTTTAAATTACACAATTGATACTTTTCACTTCTGGTTGCTTTTCAAAAGCAATTACAGAATACTAAATGTTAGAGAAATTAAAAATATTAAGAGTAAATGGGGTGAGAGAGCATAGGAGAGTAAATCAGCAGATCTATAAACAAAATATGTCCTACATAGGTCAATGTAACTTTCTACTTAGGTTTTTTCTTTGCTTTTCCTTGCCTACTCTCATCCCTTGTTTGTATTAATCCTCATGTCCAGAGTACACTAGATAGGTGAGGTGAAACTTCTGAGTATTTAGATATAAACAAGGAATAGTACATAATACCAATTTATGTTTCATCAATGTAAAAGTATAAATATACAGTCAATTTGAACTGGAATGGAAACTGCTGGTTTAGATGCATTCCGGGTACTAATATCAGATCAGCCATTACTTAATTGTGAACCCTGATGGCAAATCCATTAACATCTTTGCAAATCAGTTTCCACAAGGTAATGATACAAGAATGTGAAGCCTCAATTATATCCAGTGAAATATTTCTGCATTTCTACAAGTTTATCTCCTTGGAAGAAAAAAAATTAAATCATTCAATCATTAAAATAAATGTTAGAAAATAAAGTCTATCCATTTAGTGACAAAGGAGAAATTTAAGAGCTATAAAAGAATTTCCTAATAATGAAAACTTATTTTTCTCCATTAATTAGATTTAAGGACTCTGGGAGAAAAAAATGCTAAATATCATAGAATCCTAAAATTAAAAGGTCTTAAGCCATATTGGCTAATCTCCTAATGTTCACACATAATATGGTTTAAAAACACTTAAAGCCCTAAAGTTTCATGAATCCAGAAAAAATGATTACTTAAATGTGTATTTTCAGAATACAATAAGCCAGCATGTTGGAAAGGCTGAGGTGGGAGAATCACTTGAGCCCAGGAATTTAAGGTCAGGTTGAATAACATAGCAAAACCTCGTCTCTACAAAAACACCAAAAAATTAGCTGGGCATAATGGCACGTGCCTGTAGTCCCAGCTACTTGGGAGGTGAGGCATAAGGATTGCCTGAGCCCAGGAGGTCGAGATTGCAGTGAGCCATGATGGTGCTACTTGCACTCCAGTCTGGGCAACAGAGTGAAACTCTGACATACACACACACACACAGGAATAAATATATTGATAAAACTTTCCAATTTCATATAGAACTTTTATTATGTAATACTCTCAGAAACTACCTCAAAATGTAATTTTACAATAGTAACATATTTTGAGGGCAACAAAAATCCCTAAAGAATTAAAATTAGGCCTGGCTGACTTGGTGGCTCACTCTGTAATCCCAGCGCTTTGGGAGACTGAGGCGAGTGGATTGCCTGAACCTGAGGGTTCGAGGCCAGCCCAGGGAACTTGGCAAGTCTTCGTCTCTACAGTAAATAAAAAAATTAGCCAGGCGTAGTAGCGTGCACCTGTAGTTCCAGCTATTTGGAAGGGTAAGATGGAAGGATCACCAGAGACCAGCAGGTTGACGCTGGGGTGGCTGTGAGCCTGCCACTGCCCTCTAGCCTGGGTGAAGGAGTGAGACTCCAACACAAAAAAATTAAAAAATAACTAAAATAAAAGAATTAAAATTAATTTTGATGGTATAAAACATTGGAAATTTCTAAGCATAGTGTATCTCTCAAAGTATTGTTGCTATTTCAGGTTCAACAGAAGCATATGAAGATAATATTTACTTTGATGTAGTCAATTCAGTAACAGCCTAATAAAGGTGATCAATTCAACATGGCTTATAATAGAAAAACATTTGACCTTGAAATAAAAATGTATGGCACAGTAGATTTACCTTCCTAACTCATTTTTGTTAGGCTAATAGATTATACCTAAACATCTTATGTTATTTTATGTCTTATATAGATTCGACTTTTGAAAGGCTTTATTTATTCTAAACAGAATAAACAAAACAAACAAAACAAAACAAAACAGAAGTCCTTAACTCTGATGATAGAATCAACTCAGAGGTACAATCATGAGAGGAAAATAATAAGTCTAGTTTATTGAGTATATACAGCGATGCAAAGATCACACAGGATGATATACATCATCTAATTTCACAACAACCCTGCCAGTAAGAGGATATTGTTCACATTCTATAAAAAAGGTTAATAGCAGAGCTCAGAGGAGCTAGTTCAAACCATTAACCTCAGTCAAGGTGTAATTTGAGTTTCCATTTCTCAGTTCTTAATTGAAGTTACAATATCTGTAAAACCTCAACAGCACCCTATGAATGACTTTAAGTCAAAATAATATGCTAAGAAACAGCAACATTGTACACACCACAACTGATGAAGAGATAGTACAAAAGGAAATTTAAAAGGGATTATACAACTGCAAAAATGTGGAATTAACCTAAATAGCCATCAGCCAATTGGTGGATAATGAAAATGTGGTATATGTACACTATGGAATACTATACAGCTATAAAAAATAATGTCTTTTGCAGCAACTTGGATGGAATTGAAGAACATTATCATAAGTGAACTAACTTAGGAACAGAAAACCAAGCACTGCAGGTTCTTACTTATAAGATCGCCAAGACATAGAGAATGGTGTAATGGACACTGGAGACTCAGAAAGGGGGGAGTGGGGGAAGGAGTGGAGGGATGAAAAGTCACCTATCAGGTACCATGTAGACATGTAGGGGTGGTGGGAACACTTAAAGCCCAGACCAAAAACAATATATCCTAAAGCTGAAATTTAAAAAACAGTAATAATCTCTTAGGTACACTTGAATTAAGACAAAACATTTTTTTAAAAGTTACATTTAGTGAGAAATCCAAATACTTATCAAACACTTATTATGTTAAATACCAACAAATTATGAGTGAACATACTTACGTGAAAATAGTATAGTCCAAATTCTTTTTTTTTTGAGTTGGAGTCTCACTCTGTCACCCAGACTGGAGTGCAGTGGCCGCTCCCAGCCACCGCAGCCTCGACCTGTTGGGCTCCGGCAATCCTTCCACCTCAGCCTTCCAAATAGCTGGAATTACAGGCATGCGCTACCACGCCCGGCTGATTTTTTTTTTGATTTATTGTAGAGATGAAGTCTTGCTGCCCAGGCGGGTCTCGAGCCCGCGGGCTCAGGCAATCCACTCACCTCAGCCTCCCAAAAGTGCGGGATTACAAGCTGAGCCACCGAGCCCGGCTAGTCCAAATTCTTAATACCATAATTCTTAATCTTTCCAAAGACAAAGAGATTTACTAATAATTATTAATTCTTATTGGTTTAATTTGATTGTAATATTACAAGTACTACTATCTCAAGATTTCATATCAACATTTGCTTTAATTGGTGTTTTAGGTTTCAGTTCTAAAATTATTGCTACATATACTCCAAAACAAAGTTTACAGACTCTAAATTCAATGGATATCCTGCCGTACCACATGTACTTGCTGATATTCCAAGGTGATGACAAATAGCTCTGGTGCTCAGGGCAATAAAATAAAATTGAGCTGGGCTCGGTGGCTCAGCCTGTAATCCTGCGCCTTGGGAGGCTGAGGTGAGTGAATTGCCTGAGCCCGTGGGTTCGAGACCCGCCTGGGCAACTTGGTGAGACCTCATCTCTACAATAAATCAAAAAATTAGCCGGGTGTGGTAGTGCGCGCCTGTAGTTCCAGCTACTTGGAAGGCTGAGGAGGAAGGATCGCCAAAGCCCAGCAGGTCGAGGCTGCAGTGGCCAGGAGTGGCCACCATACTCCAGTCTGGGCGACAGAGTGAGACTCCAACTCAAAAAAATAAATAGATAAGTAAAAGTCAAAGAAGTATACAATATGAGAAAGATGTGACTGGCTTGCAATATGAATCAAAAATAAAAAAAGAGATAAAGCAAATTATCAAAAGAGAAAATATTCATCCAATTCCCATAATTTAAAAAATGTTAACACTCTGAAAGAGGTACTCATTAGAAAAAGACCTAATTATTAAGAACTCAGGCAACAATTTCATCTGACGCTATCTCATGGAGAAAAAAAATTTCTTATAAAATTGTTCTATTAAGAGTGAATAGTTATAACCAGTAATTCTGAAACTATAAATTGTATGTGTAATCTTAAGAAAGCCTCAACTCCATGGTTAGGCTTCCCTACTTGAAAATGAAAGCTTTAACTGAGGAGAGTGGATGCTAGGTGACAATTTATAGGGTTCTTCGCAACTCTTAATTTCCAGGATTTTTTTTAAAAATTCAGCTAGTATTTGTCTTTATGGACAACTAACTCTTCTAACTACTTGCTATTTGCTTCATAGAAACATAAGAAAAAGGCCTCATTTTCTGATGTTCTTCACACAGTATCTTTGTGATAAATACCTTCCCCAAAGCTTACTGTTTCATAATCTATCTTTTTCTTACCTGTTGCTCCTCTGGCATTGGTCTGAAATGGATTTGTAGAAGATGCCACAGAAGGACCAGCAGCAGCAACAAAGGGATTTGTGGAAGGCGTAGCTTTAAAAAATTATAAAATATGCTATAAAATCCTAATACATTTTGTACTGAAAATTTAAAATATTTTTCACTATATTTATCAAGATAGAGAACTTGAGGTTTCTGATAATAAATTATTGAACTTTTGACTATCTTCCAGTATCCCTAAGAAAATGCTTATACAATATATATTTTGAGTCTTCATAAAAACCAATGTAAATACCAGAAGCACACACCTCCAAATGGAGCAGGCACACTTGAAGAAGCAGGCTGTGTCTGTGCAGAAGCACCCACTGGCACTGTTCCAAAAACGTTGCTGAAAACAAATATTCAAAGAGTTCATGTCAAAAAACAAAACAAAAACAAAAAAAGCAAGGGTAATCTATCTACGGGGTAGGTACAAAACGTGGAAATATTTAATACTTAACGTATCATGTATCACAGCATTGGTGCCAACACAGAAAATTAAGAAGGCATATTTAAGGGTAAAGTTTTAATAATATTAAAAATTGTTATTGCATCATTAAGAAAAGTCATGTGCCGGGCTTGGTGGCTCAGCCTGTAATCCTGCGCCTTTGGGAGGCTGAGGTGAGTGGATTGCCTGAGCCTGTGGGTTCGAGACCCGCCTGGGCAGCGAGACCTCATCTCTACAATAAATCAAAAAATCAGCCGGGCATGGTAGTGCGTGCCTGTAATCCCGGCTACTTGAAAGGCTGAGGCGGAAGGATCACCGGAGCCCAGCAGGTCGAGGCTGCGGTGGCCGGGAGCGGCCACTGCACTCCAGTCTGGGCGACAGAGTAAGACTCCAACTCAAAAAAAAAAGAAAAGTCATGTAAAAACTGAATCAAGACTACAAAAATAAAACTGAATGTGTGGTGGTGGAGAATAATATGACTATCAGATAACTACTAGTATAGTTTGGTGCCACTATCTTAATTTGTGCAAGTTTTACCTGCCATTGTTTTTACACCATCAATAAAAATGTCAATTAATGAAAGCCTAATAATGTCTCTGAATAATTATTTTTAAAGTTTTAACTTCATAGGGTCTCAGGTACGCCAAACAGTTCATGGACAACATTTTGCAAACCACTGGTGTACTGTAATTTGACATCAATAAGTCATTTTGAAATGTATAAATTGCCTATGCTTCCAGACTTTATGGCCACTGTTATAGTCCACTATTATATGTCTAATGTAGGCAAAAACAGATATAACCATCCCTAAATTTTATTCTTTGGAGTCAATTTTTCCCATCTGGCATACAGAAAATTTATTATCAAAAAGCCAAAATAGCTAGTGTTACAATCCTAACATTAATCTTTAGAAAAAGTATTAAAGAAAAATCAGATACAAGGATAACGAAAGAAAGAAGTAAAAACAATCCACAGGAATGGAAAACAGAGATGAATAAAATGCTGTATGGGTAAATCACCTGCACTTTTGGGTCTGTTTCCTTAACTCTAGAATAAAGTTAAGACTAGAAGAGGTTTTTTCTTTGTTGTTGTTGGTTTTTTTAGTGTAATATCCTTAAAATGTGTTAGACTTCCTGCTGACAAAAATTCTTCACAACAGATAGCTTTGAGCATAGTAACAGATGTGCTTATTTATAAACACCAATATGACACTGAAGAAACACTGAACTGATGCTGGGCTTTGGTGTAAACACTCTTAAAAGGTGTATTTACAACTAAGGCTACAACATGGTACTTTGTTCAGTCTTCGTGATTGAAAACTGTAACTTAAAAGTATATAATGTGACAACTAAATGGATTATCTGAGTACAATAACTGTCCATTTTGAGATGTTTATATACTCTTAAATACATTTTAGCGTTCAAGGATGAAAAGTTACAAAACCTCCAATTCAATGAACAGATCAAATTATGGCAATTATTCAAGGAGTATATTTTAATTAGCAAACTAAACTCAATTTCCTCAACTTTACAAACTATTTGAGAATTTTTATTTTATCCCAACACAGTCATTATTGAACCATATTATTATTCAGAGTTGGATAAAACAGATAAGCACAAAGCAGGAGTGCTGGCTAGGACAAGGTACCTGCTAGCATTACTTGTGGAAGTATACGCATTACTGGAGGTGGCTGCAGAACTGAAAACGCTGTCTAGCTCTGCCAGGGCTGCATACTTGTCTGAAGATGCACTTGACTGACTGGGAACTGAAACCACAGAACCAACAGGAGTTTTACCTGTGGTCCCAAAGCCACTTCCCTGATCACCACCTGAGAACAAACAAAAGCAAATACACCAAAAAGTTAAAGTTATACTTCCAATTTGTCCACCACATTTGCCATGAAACAGGTCAACAAAAGGATTTTGGAGCTAAGCATATAAATTGACAGGATTCTAGAGTCTTAATCTAATCTAGACAATACTGGACAAGATTAGTTGCTTTGTGGGAAAGACTGAATACTGTTTCTGTAACAAAAATTAAGACTCTGCACCAATAACATGCCTAGATTATGCATAATGAAGAAATTCTCAAAATGCTACGTAAAAATCTCCAAGACAGGTAGATCCCATTCAAGTAAATATACCATAAAATGCTAGGCCTAAAGTGAACAATCTATTAAAGGTATTATTCCCCAGGGCTCTCCATGAAAAAATAGAGACATTAATAACAGGAAACATTTATGGAGCACTTAATATGTGCTAGGCACTATTCTAAATGCCTCACATGCAATAATACAGATAACAACTCCATGAGTCCAATCCTATTTTTAACCTCATTTTGGAGAGAAAAAAAACTGGCACAGAGATCAGAAAGCAGAATCCAGTCTAGCACCAGACCCCTGCTGTTCACCACTGCAACATACATTTTTAGAGGCTACTAGCCTTAAGACCAAACTTAGGTATAAAAATATATGTAAAATGTATGGATTACAACACACACACACTCACCCACTCACTGCAAAATGTTAACAGAAAATAGTTCAAAATTGACTATGTTACAGAAATCACCAAATAACCCTCCACTAAGCTCTGTTAATGAAATTTCTTGGTCCTTTATGGCTATAGAGCAGTAAAGCATGCTCTCTAGGACAAAATAAAAGTTTTCTCAATTACTTTGTTTTAAAACTAAAAGTTTACAAATTAGTTTCTACGTTTTCAATTTTGTAGTTGATATTTCAGGGTCCAAAATGTGTCAAGTCAACATTCTACTCAAAATGTTAGTGCTGACACCATTTCTATACAAACTGAGCAAAGCATACCATCCTCAGATTTGAATAAATACAACCAAATTTAGAGCACTGTTTAAGATACACATTTGTATTGTTTTGTTTAAAGCTTGATACCTTGCCCAGCACTGAAGATATTGTCTAAATTAGCAAGTGCTGCATATTTGTCTGCTGTCTGTAATCCAGCTTTGTTCGTTGAAACTTTAGTAACAGCTGATGCTGTTTGATGACTCTGGGAAGTATTGAAGGTTCCAAAATCAGCACTGGAGGATTTGGGGAAGTTATCAAAATGAGCAAAATTAGCATTTACGGATCCAGCACTTCCACCTGTAACAAAATAAATAAAACCATTCAAATTTCTAGACTTTTCTCAACATTCTTTGGTAGATAATATGACCATTTCTTCCTAAAGTGTCCTATAAGTAATCTTACAACCTTAGTCAATGACTGGCAAATGGTTTTCAACTTACACTTGACTTTTAATCATTTGTTTAACAAGATTTTCAAAGGCCCTGTCAACATGTAAGATAACGTGTCTCTATGTTTATTATCAATCCTGGAGTGAAGCATAAAATTCATGGTGGAGTAACTCAATGCTTCCTGGTTTGAAATTCAGTTACTCTATAGAACATCCAACTATATACTATGAACTTTTTACTAGTTCTTCCTACACAGACTGCAAACAAGATGCAAAGTATCTTACTTGGACAATTTCAATCTTTTGTAGTTCCACAGCAACATGGTTTAAACAAATCCCAAGTATAGGGATTAACAATGTGTAAGATATCTGTTGAACTTTAGATTTACTTCACTTGAAGAGTTATTATTTAATTCCACATAACGTAATATGCACACAATACCATAATGTTTACAGTAATATCATGCCCTACCATATAGTTCAAAGCATAAAAAATAGTGTATAAAACATTATAGCAATGTTTGACTATGGTATATAACCTGCTAAATCTTTAGCCTGTTCTCCACCTAGAGACTTCCCTAAGTATTATCAAAAGACTAAAACCAGTATTACTGCATTTTTTGCTTTTGATCCTACACTTTTTAAGACTTAGTTTTTTATTTCTAAACCCTTAGTTGCAGCAATCAAAATAGCATATTTACAGTTATATGTTAAAATGACAGAAAAGGCACATAGATACTTTTATAACAATTAATGTACCCCTATTAAAAAATAATACAAACACTTTCTTCCAGTTTTTTAGACATCCTAAGACAAATATATACTAATAAAATTTATTTCAGGAATTTACTCTGGCTATTTTCAATTAATACCTAAGTAAAATATGTCTGTATTTCTATTTTTTATAAATATATATGTCTATTTCAAAGATGGTGATCTATCTACAACTAGCAGGAAAACAAAGTGCCTACTAAACTTTCAAAATTTGTACAAAGAATTTTATTTCAAATTATTAAAAACTGAATTATTATTAAACCAATTAACTTTTATTATATACTACTGTATTCTCTAACTCTAAATTTAGTTACAGAGAAAGGAGAGCAAAAGTGATTACGAAGGATTATCATTAAGTAATGAATAACAATATATAGTTGAAAAAGTCCGTGAAATATAGCAAAAACATACAAATTAGTAAAAGATGCCTACTTGACAACAGAACTTACTGTGAGTAGCCTGGAGAGGAAAAGCTGAAGTAAATTCACCAAAACTGCAGCTAGATGAAAGCATTCTAAATGCTGGACAGCCAGAAATTATGTAAATGATGAAAGTTAAAGAAAAAAAAAAAAAGAAAATTGAAAGAAAAGGCTTTAAGACAACACACAGAGTTAAAAGTTGAAAGAAATCAACCAAAGATCTAAACAAAGGTTCAATGAGTTTCTGAAAACAGTACATTTTATGGGAAGGTATTCAATGATTAAAGATCAATTCCTGCACAGAAAACTATTTCCAAATTTGATTAAAGTGATCATTAAATAAGCTACTCTTGACTAATGTCATTTAAAATGTTTTCTCAAGCTCGTTGCCCTGAAAATTATTTACATTTTTAGTTCTATGGAAGCAGTCAATTAGCTACCTTTATTCAGAGGTATAATGTCAGGCTAAATTAATGTGTTCTATGAACCTAAGAAATTGTTAGTACTTTAATACCTTTGTGCATGGGAGATTTAAGGATGGTTCATGTGCAGGAAAAGAAGGAGAATGGATGCTGTCAATTAGACAACATACCAAAAAGTACAGAAAAACAAATGAACATAGGAAAAAAGAAAAAAAAGAGTTCAGGTTTCCCCAGAGCTTTGCAAGATGGAACTATTTTAAAACCAGATAGTAGTAAAATTTAAGATTAGAGTAATTTTTCAAAACTACACTTAGTTTTGTTTGTTAAAGTAAACACTTAAGCACAATGCTGGAGAAGCTCTACCTGTAGTTTGGGGCTGAAAAGGAGAATGACTTGCTGTGGGGAAACCTCCAAAATTACTCGAACCACTAGACTGTCCAAATGCATCAAAGTTTGCAAAATCTGCATTTGCAGAATTCTGAGCTGTAAATGGTAAGGAACAACACATGTTAATGAATATGAAAACTGCAAACGAAAATACATGACAAATGAATTTAAGAATTTTATGAAAAGTTTCTATGTATCAAAATTCATTTATAGAATTTATAGAGAATACACTTAGAAATCAGATTTTACATCCCACCAGCATTTAAGTCAATTATTTCCAAAAACACTTTGTGCAATGATAAATCTGTACACAATATCCTGTGAATGAGTTGTACTATAAGAGTGACTCCATTAACAAAAGAAATTAGTTCAGAGCACTAAATACATTCATTACAGTAAGATAAACAAAGATGTACAACAAAACATTATGAAAAATTCACTGAGTTAAAATGGCAATTAGCTATGTGAATTTAAATAATCTAAATATAAAATAACAATATAAAGATGGCTTAATTACATAAATAAAGCATTCTGGGTTTTTTTTAATTACAAATATGTCCCACCATTTTCACATAAAAACAAAAAAATTTGTACAAGGACAAGGTCACCGAATTAACTGAAAATATTCACAGTCTATTGAAGCCTGCTATTTTAAACTCACATTAAAATTTAAGAAAAATTCTAAAAGAAAAATTCAAAAGTTTTTTTTTTTTCAAGACCAAAACAGATGTTGGATAAGGATTTTATAGAGGATATGATGAGAATGAGAAATGGCTGGTATTTGGGAAAGGGAATGTCAAGAGGCAAGAATGAAAAGCATGTCCACAGGATAGGGAAAAGTTAAATGTCATGAACACAGGAAAAAGAACCACTTAAAATGCTTTCACGCAGTTCTACTTCTAGGAAGTGTTTGTAAAGAAATAATCTTGTAAATGAGTATGGCTGTACCTAAATGCTAGAAAACATGTTTTTTATAATAGTGAAAAAATTAGAAACTCAAATGACCACCAATAAAGGATCACTTAAACATATTAAGGAATATTATGTAATGGAAAATAATGCAACCATTTTAAAAATGAAGCTTATAAAAAGGTAATTTGAGTAATCATTTGCAAATAAGCAAGAACCTGAAGCTAAAAAACAACTACTCTCAGGGAACCTGACTTTTAGTTAGCCTACATGACTATTATACTACTTCCCCATACTCCATTTCCACCACACACTGGAATAAGACAAAACAGTTAAGACCTTCTATCAATATGATAAAAATGTAGATTTTTTCCCTTTTCAACATATTCTACAATCAAATAATGGATATTGTTTTCAAAGAGCATTTTAATAAAGCTAATGAAAGCATGAGTGCAATCCTGGTACAAATTAAGCCTGTGGAGATGTAGTGATTTGCACTTTTTTTTTTTGGCTGACATGGCTACAAAAAAAAAAATGCAACATTAATTTCCTTACCTGTGAACACTCACAAATTGCATTTAAAGACAGACACACAGGAAAAAAAATGAAATATGTTGGAAATCTACAAAGGAGTTTGGTAGATACTTATCAGTAATTTCAATAAATCTAAAGTGGGGATAAAACCAGAATTATTCATAAACCACAGAAGTTTCACTCTATATTAATTAGCACTTCACCAACTCTTTTTACCAGCATTGAAATGCAAGAGGTGGGAACAAAAAGCGAGACCCCTTGTCTAGTAAGAGGGAGAAATGGCTTCCTTTCTGGAGGGTGAAGAGAAGAGGCACTCCAGGTTTTCTAAACTTTTGCAGCTCTGCTAATGTAGGACAAGGGAAACCTACCATCGCCCCAACAATTTAAGCTTCCCAATTTCTTACCATTCTCAGTACAACTTTTCCTAAAAGAGAAACCTGTCATTCATTTCTTTTTAAAGCAAATACACACATGAAACACAAAAATATCACACTATAATTTCTTTCTAAAACATGTCCTTAAATAGAACATCAATTGTCAGTGCTGGTTTCTGTTAAGCTCATCAAATTGTTAAACACATGTATGAGAAAGATAGTCTTGAATTTTTGTTTATAATTCAAGTTATAGAAATCTATGACAAAGAAACTAAGCTTTAATCAATATCCAATACACACGTGAAAATAATATAAAGTGCCGGGCTCGGTGGCTCAGCCTGTAATCGCGCACCTTTGGGAGGCTGAGGTGAGTGGATTGCCTGAGCCCGCGGGTTCGAGACCCACCTGGGCAGTGAGACCTCATCTCTACAATAAATAAATTAAAAAAAAGTCAGTCGGGCGTGGTAGCCCATGCCTGTAATTCTGGGTACTTGGAAGGCTGAGGTGAAAGGATCGCCAGAGCCCAGCAGGTCCAGGCTGCGGTGGCTGGGAGCGGCCACTGCACTCCAGTCTGGGTGACAGAGTGAGACTCCAACTCAAAAAAAAAAAAAAAAAAAGAAAAAAGAAAATAATATAAAGTAAAGCTTTAAATTATCAAATAAAACTACAAAATGACTAAATCTCTAAATTAGTGCTCTACATTTGGTTTGGTAAACTTTCTATGATATAATTTTCAGTATAAACACAACAAAGAAGCACCTGTAAAGACTCAAAAAAATTACCAAGCTGTTAGGAAAGGAATCTAAACCATTTGGTGAACCTTAATTAAGCTCCAAAGATTAAAACAGGATAAAATCTTGATATAAGGTATGATCCCTTTTGTTAAACAAACATAGGCATACAAATACATATACCTACATAAGAGTATATGTGTGTATATATATATATGCAGGGTGTGTGTAAAAAAAAAGAGAAAAATATACTATTGTATCTTCCAGTGCTAAACCCCTTAAATGCATCATCTCATTTGAACCTCACCACTGAAGAAGTTATCAAAGCCAATTTATAGAATTAAAAATTAAGAAATATTAGGTAATTTGCCCAAGATTATATGGATAATAAGAAACAAAGTCAGTATTTGAACCCAAGTTGTCCCAATTCCAAAGCCCACGTTCTTTCACTACATTATGCTACTTCCCTACCTATTAGACTGTTGCTATTACAATTAAGGAGAGAGACAAATGACTACATCTACACTTCAATAGTCAATTTTTAAATGTTACCTGGATAACTCTGTAAGGCTTGTATATTTAACAAAATAAAACTCCACGATTTCTAATTTCTGGTGATGTGCATTGAACTTTGTAACAAATATATTAAATTTGAGAATAAGGGGGCAGGGGAGAAAAAGCCGTACAAAGACTACAAGAGTTATGTCAAAAAAAGTTACATAGCTTCAGGAATCAACCTCAAGATGTTCCTACTCCAAAGACAGGATAATCTGAGCATTCATAGGGATAATAATAACAAAAAATCAAGATGTAGAAAATGTTTAAATCTATGAAGTCACAATGGTACTAAACAAAAAAAGGTTATCATTAGAAAATGCTAGGAAATCAAATTATTTTTCTGATATCTAATTGAAAAGAATCTATCAGGTTATCCTGACTTTCCTATACAAATCATGCCACCAGATAATCAAAGATTTTTAAAGAGGTATTTCTGCTGATAAGTGAAGGAATAAATTTGATTTTGCACAATGGACCCAGGCACTGAGCACCAATAGCTAACATTACAAATAGAGACAATCCAAAATTAAGTGCCCCTTAAACCCTAAATAGTGCCCTCTAGCCACCCATCCTACCCACATGAAGAATCTATAACTGATCAAGTCTTCAGATCCAACAACCAATTTGCAGAGAAGAAAGCAACTAGCTAAATTAAGGGCACTATAGTGATTCAATCAACAAATTCAGACTACCAAAGACTCTACAGGAAAAAATAACCTGGTTTCTTTAACAAATAAATTACAGAGGAGAAAAAAAGAAATGGAGGAAGAAGACCAAGAGACCTAAGAAACATATCTCTGAGCCGGGCTCGGTGGCTCAGTCTGTAATCCCGCGCCTTTGGGAGGATGAGGTGAGTGGATTGCCTGAGCCCGCGGGTTCGAGACCTGCCTGGGCAGTGAGGCCTCATCTCTACAATAAATCAAAAAATCAGTCGGGTGTGGTAGCGCATGCCTGTAATTCCGGCTACTTGGAAGGCTGAGGCGGAAGGATCGCCGGAGCCCAGCAGGTCGAGGTCCAGTCTGGGCGACAGAGTGAGACTCCAACTCAAAAAAAAGAGAAACATATCTCACAACTGCAGTATGGGGACCTTATTGGAAACCTGTTTCAAACAAACTATATGTATATGTATGTATATGTGTGTGCGCATATGGAAAAATTTGGACCAGAATGAAAATTTCCACACTTTATTACTACTACTATTTAGGAAGTGATACTACTACTGTAGTTATGTTTAACCAAAAAAAGGTCTTTTGGTTTTACAGATATATACAATATTCAAGGATAAACTAACACTATTAGTAAAATTTGCTTCAAAATAATGAGTGGGTAGAATGATGAAACAAAATTAGGCATGAGTTATTAGTATATAAGGGCTGTATCCAGTTACTAAATGTTTGCAATTTTCTATAATAAAGGGGTAAAAAAATAGACACTAAAGCCTTTTCCCAATTTTCCATGGAAAGAGGTCATGACAATATCTGACATTAAATGTAATTTCTTCTGTGATTAAAATGCACCACAGTTATATATTATATACTACACCTTAGCAGTTATGGGGTATGCAGTTACACCCTATATCTCAACAAAACACGTTGACTGATCCTCAAGTTTAATAAAGAATTGATGTTTTTTAGTTCTTAATGGACATCCCTAGGCAAAAGTTGCTGGGAAAAACACTTACCTGCATGACTGTTGAAATGTGCAAAGTTAGCAAAATTGGCTGTAGCTGTTGACTGAGGAGCTGGAGCGGCAAAGATGTCTGAGCCAAGATCACTCAAAAGGTCAAACTGCTTCTTCTCCTGCTGCTGCCCTTGAGAGCGACCTACAACTGGGGACTATAAAACATAGATTATCAATAAAGATTTTCCAGTCCAATCAGTAAAATTTTTATATAAAACTACCTTCAATTTGCCAAACTTAAAACACATTTATACACAGGAAGAATTACCTCTTCTCATTTTTCACTCAAACCTTTTGCAAAAACAGTGATTTATTCAGATGTCCTAGGATGCATTACTTAAAAGGACAGAATTTAATCCATAGTACTATGCCTGAGAACCATTCTTGGATGGGATATAGGTTGCAATGTCACACAGTAACAGATCTACAAAGTTCCTTCAACTGTAATATAAAGTGCAGAAGTACAAACTTTATTTAGGTACAACCTATGAACAGACAGTTTGATCAGTTTTTGAAAATAAGACATACTGCAAAGCTACCTATGTTTCATAATCAGACATGTGGGAAAATTCTACTGTTTAAGAAATTTCTTCCTGTAAAAGTGTGTCAGAGGTTATATTACAGGTCTAACTCTAACGGTCACCATAGATTCATGTTTTAACAATTGTATATAGCTATAGCAACATTCCTGTATCATATACCTTACAAAGCATCAGTTCTAGAAGTCAAAGAATATTAGCAAAAGCAAAAAGAAGAAAAATATACACATTTCAGCCACTTAACTATCTTTTAATGTATTATAAGTCATTAGGACATAATGCTACTGGCATACAGGGTTATGCTGCTGTCTTAAAGAAATCTCAAACTCTTGGCCGGGTATGATGGCTCACACCTGTAATTCCAGCAGTTTGGAAGCCTGAGGCAAGAGGATTGCCTGAGCCCAGGAGTTCAAAACCACCCTGCACAATATGGCAAGACCTCATCTCTACAAAAATTTTTTTAAAAAAATAAACTAGGCGTGATGGCATACACCTGTCATTCCAGCTACTTGGAAGCCTGAGGCAGGTCGAGGTTATAGCAGCCATGATCATGCCACTGCACTACAGCCTGGGTGACAGAATGAGACTCCAACTCAAAAAAAAAAAAAAAAAAATCAAATTCTTGATACTCAATTCTCCTTAAGAAGTCCACAAAGATTTACAGACTACTCACCTGACTTGGTGTACCCTTATTTAAGTGCAGTGCTGGTGCAGAATCCCCTAAAAGAGACTTCAGTGGTTTGACCTCAGGTGTGCTGCTTGTGCTACTGGCAGAGGACCCTGAAATAGATGCATGCACTGATGCCACCACTTTGGCTTGTTCTGGCGGGACATACCTAAAATGTGAAAATTAGTTAACTAAGAAAAATTAATTAAAACTAAAGAAAATTCTACACTAAAAAATGACACGCTTAATTCTAATTTTTTATAAGATTATTTCAACTTTTAGCTTATTTGAAAACCTCTCACTTAGAATTAATAGTTTAGGATTACATTTAATTGAATCCTAAACTCAGAGAAAGAGCAATAAAGAATAACCAGAAAATGTGTTTCAATTATTTACTTACGATTTTTTAAGATAATACAAGATAACAACTACTTTTTTTAAACAATGGAGAATCTACAGTTAGTCACGATCAATAGTTAACACTGTAATTTTTAAAAACATCTTAAGTTCATAAATAACATCTGAAGACCGATAAGAAGATAGGAAAACATTGTATCACAGTTAACAGTCTAAAATATAAAGGCCTATTACACATCTATAAGAACAAGATCAACAACCCCATTTTAAATGACTAGAATAAGCAATTTACAAAACTTGACACAGAAACAAGAACACTTTTAACCCAATAAAAATGCAAATTAAGGTTGTATTCACTTATGATCTGAGTGCAGACTTTACAAATTTTCTATTGCTACCTACTAAAATATATAAATAGGTATGCTTTGTACACCAGTAATACCACTTCTAGAAACTATTCTTACCACGGTACTCTTTATAACTTCAAAAAACTGGAAGACAAAGCCAACATCCAGCAGGAGAAAAATATTTTAAGAGATTATGTTAAAATGCATACAACATATTACTACATAGCTACTCTGACTTTAACATAAAAAGATGTCCATAAACCTTAACAGGTCTTTCAGGTTTGATCCCAGTCATGTAAATACAGGAATCATGGAAGGGTAGTGAAGGAAGGAAAGAGAAGTCGTGTAAGGATATAGCACCCAAATTACTGGCAATGCTAACTTCTAGGGTTGGGATTATGTAAGAGCTTTTGTTCTCTGTAATTCTGAGTTTTGTCCTACCTTCCTTTCACTCCACCCCCTGCCCCCCATATTCAGTAGGTGGGGAAAGTAGGAAAACAGAGTGGTTAAGAATATTTATTCCAGAGAAGACAGAGTTCATATTACAACTATACCTGTGATGTGAAACCTTGTGCAAACTATTTAAACTCTTTTTACTTCCATTTTTTTCATTTACAAAATGGAGAGATCGGGTTGCTGTGTGTGTTCAACAAGTTAACATCTGTAAAGCATTCAGACTAGTCCTAGTAAAGGTGTTTATTAGTTGTTTTCAAACTAAGTAAAAATCACAAACAATAAAACACTTTTTTTCAGTAAATGGGAAAGATTACAAGAGATATGAGAACAAATACAAGAAGTCATGCTTTCCCGTAATTTACTATATCACTAATGATATCATGTTGAGTATAGCCAAGTCTCACCTAAGAATAAAATCAGTAAGAGTTATTAGTCCCAAAGTCTTATTAATCTTGTATAACATGGAAGGAAAGTGATTTGAGAACTGGTCAAAAGAACAATTTCAAAATCCCTTTAGATAATACCAGCATTACTATTTTTTTTTTTTGTTTTTATTTTTTGAGTTGGAGTCTCACTCTGTTGCCCAGACTGGAGTGCAGTGGCCACTCCCAGCCACTGCAGCCTTGACCTGCTGGGCTCTGGCGATCCTTGCGCCTCAGCCTTCTGAGTAGCCGGAATTACAGGTGCGCGCTACCACGCCCGACTATTTTTTTATTTTATTGTAGAGATGAGGTCTCACCTGCCCAGGCGGGTCTCAAACCCGCGGGCTCAGGCAATCCACTCACCTCAGCCTCCCAAAGGTGCGGGATTACAGGCTGAGCCACCGAGCCCGGCTGCATTACTGTTTTAAGTATAGGTTCCTACAGTGAGTATTATAAGGGAGACTGCATTTGAATAGTGTTTATACCAAGTTAAAAAAATCATTTTCACTTCACTCTAGTAACATGTTACAGGTGTGCAGGAATCTGGAATAAAAATGTACAGGACCTGGACCTCTTAAATGATGGTCACTTCTCCCTCTCCATCTACCACTTAAACTCTGTATTTGTTTTACTCTTGTTCTTACTATCCTGCTTCTTGGGAAAGAAAAAATAATACAAATTATAATTATTTGAGGTTTTCAGCTATTTGGGTAATGATTTGAATCATATATTATTGTTTCAAATGAAGGGGTGAGGGGCCTATGGTTTTAATTCTATCAGATGTTACACTCACATTTCTCTCGATAACTAAAGCTAACCAATCTAAAATTCTAGCAAAGTCCTAACTAAACTGACTTTCTGAACTGCTAAGAATAACACTGCTGAGAAAACCAATATTAGGTTAGGGCTATGCAAGGAAAACAGCGGTTTTATTTTTGTTTTTTAAGTCGAACTCTCATTGCATCACCCAGGTTGGAGTGCAGTGGCAGGCTCCCCCAGCCACCGGAGCCTCGACCTGCTGGTCTCAGGCGATCCTTCTGCCTCAGCCTTCCAAGTAGCTGGAACCACAGGCAGGCGCCATCACTTGGCTAATTTTTTCTTGATTTATTGTAGAGACGAGGTCTCACCAACTTGCCCAGATTGGTCTCAAACCCCTGTACTCAGGCAATTCTCTTGCCTTGGCCTCCCAAGTGCTAGGATTACAGTCATGAGCCACCACACCCAGTCAGGAAAACAGTCTTACCTACAGGATGGAAGGCCTAGGAAATTAAGAACTAAAATGATAAAAGGATGATTATACCTTTCATTTTCAAATAATCACTTATGCCACCGCATTTTTACTATCACCCCACCTTTTAATATGCTCTACTTTCCTAAGCAACAATTTTACTGGTGTATTTTAATCTATAGTCATACGCAATGTATTTAAGTGCACCTGAATATAGCCCTAGCTAATCCTGCTTTGCAAAAAGTTGTCTACTTTGTAGTGAAATTAAGAATGCAAATTTTGACAAAGCATACAAGTCAGAGCTAATGTGCTCACTAAATGAAGATAAAGACCTCTCCCGTAAACCATAGCAAGTGTTTCCTCAGGACCAAAACAGGTTCTGAATAGATCATTTTCTGGGTTAAAATACAGTTCCTCAGGTAAATAAGAAGCCATTTCCTTCCCCTTTATGTATTCCCTCTATTTGTGACTCTCTGTCCCATCTTAATCTACCAAGAAGGAAATATACACTTCAATATTGATGAAGAAACAACCAAAAGAGTTTGTAGTTAGTGAGTCTTAATCAACGGTACTTAAATTTTGCTCATGTAACTAAAAATGAAGATTCCTAAGAAACTGAACAATAGCCCTATGGATGTTGTCTCTGCTGTGCTTTAAAGGGCTTAGTAGACGTACATACATATGTATAACCTGTTGGAATTTCATTTTAAAAATTAACATCTGATAAACATAATTAGGAAGCATTCCCTTAATGAGGAAGCAAACTGATTTATTGGGTGGAAAGAGATATTTTGAGCAGAGACTTACTATAAGACACGAGTAAGTGGATAGATTACTACGCCACAGCTTTAGCATCGTGACTAGTATAAGGAAGATACTACTAAAAAAAAAAAACTACTCAATAAATATTTGGTAAATTAATAATGATCTAAGAAAGGAGATTTTGGGCTGCGCATGGTGACACAGCCTGTAATCCCAGCACTTTGGGAGGCCAAAGCGAGAGGATTGCCTGGGGGTTCAAGACCAGCCTGGGCAACTTGGTGAGATCTCGTCTCTACAATAAAACACAAAAATTAGCCGGGCATGGTGGTGTGTGCCTGTTGTTCCAGCTACTTGGAAGGCTGAGGCAGAAGGATCACCTGAGCCCAGCAGGTTGAGGATGCAGTGGCAGTGAGCAGTGTGCCACTGCACTCCAGCCTGGGCAACAGAGTGAGACTCTGACAAAAAAAAAAAGAAAAGAAAAGAAAAGAAAGGAGATTTGTAGGACTAAAAATTGTCTACAGAAGTTAACGGGAATAGGAAAGGATTAAACAGAAAGATTCCTAATTCCCAAAAAAGGTAAGAGGCCCTTTATTACTATAACAAAAAGCAAAACAGGCTGCTGTTAGGTATAGATGAGTTATGATAAAGTAGAGGTAAAGGGTTTTGGAAACCAAATACAATAAAAAGTCAAAGGATAATGAATATCTACCCACCTACCTACTTAATTATTTCCTTCCTGTCTGCCTTCTGTCCTTCATTGTGTCAAACTAACCTACCCATAAATTTTGGGAGGCTTTACTCTAAATAAAAACTATTCACTCACCATCTTTTCTTTTCATATTTTTCTTGTAGAAACTCTTTCACTTTTTGTGGATCCCTGAAGTCTGGAATTGCTGAAGATCTATCATCAAATAATCCTAGCCAAATCTGTTTACAGACCTTTAAAAAGAATTAAAGAAAAAAGTGTTAATTCAACTTTACTTAAGAAGAAATTATGATTCTTTCAGAAAGCTAATCTTTTAGTAGTTGTGATAATACTTTTTTCAATGAGGATGTTTATTATGACCAGAAATGAAGGAGTTACATTTATTTTAATGTGTTGCAGTATGCAGTAAAATTTAGCAACAGAATCATAAAGAGTACCTCATTGGGAAATAAATAGTGAAATGAGATTTGAAAGGATCAAGGACCTGGAGGGTTTTTTTGGTCTTGGCATGATCATAAACTTTACTATTAGCAAAGTCACGTAATCTGATAGAACCTCTATTCCCTTATCCATATAACAGAGGACATAAACCAGTAGCAATTTTATAGGCCCTTAAACAAGTTTAAAAATCAGGCCAGGAGTAGTGGCTCATTCCTACAATCTCAGCACTTTAGGAGGCTGAGGCAGGAGAATCACTTGAGCTCAGGAGTTTTGAGACCAGCCTAGGCAAAATAGTGAGACCTCGTCTCTAAAAAAAAAAATTTTTTAAATTTAAAAAACAAAAATCAAGCAAAAACTACTGGAATCACAATTTGCTATTAAAGTGCAACAATAACAAACACAAATACAAGGTATATACAACACTAGCTTTATAGCTGTCTCCTATGCTTTGTTGTCCAATAGCTAAAAACACGACATTCTGAGATTAAACTTTTTAGAAAAATCAAAAAAGATATGCAGCATAACTCAAATAATATGCAAAGAACGCCAAAAGAACTATAAAGAAAAAACTGATGAAGTAAACTTAATTAAAATTAAAAATTGCGCTTAAAAAAACTTAAAAGAAAAAAAACACGACCAGGCTTAGTGGCTCAGCCTGTGATCCCACAGCGCTTTGGGAGGCCGAGGTGAATGGATTGCCTGAACTCCTGCGTTCGAGACACACCTGGGCAACTTGGCAAGACCTCATCTCTACAATAAAATCAAAAATTAGCTGGGCGTGGCTGAGGCGGGAAGGATTGCCGGAGCCCAGCAGGTCAAGGCTGTGGTGGCTGGGAGCGTGCCACTGCACTCCTGTCAGGGCAACAGAGTGAGACTCCAACTCAAAATAAATAAATAAAAAAAATTTTTTTAAAAAAGGCTGGGCTTGGTGGCTCAGCCTGTAATCCCGCACTTTGGGAGGCCGAGATGAGTGGACTGCCTGAGCCGGAGGGTTCGAGACCCACCGGGGCAACTTGGCAAGACCTCATCTCTATAATAAATCAAAAATTAGCCGGGCGTAGTAGCGTGCGCCTGTAGTTCCAGCTACTTGGAAGGCTGAGGTGGAAGGATCGCCGGAGCCCATCAGGTCAAGTTTGCAGTGCAGTGGCCGGCAGTATGCCACTGCACTCTAGTCTGGGCGACAGAGTGAGACTTCAACTAAAAAAAAAAAAACAAAAAACAAACAAAAACGCAAGCTACCAAGCGATAAAAAAGTATTTTCAAAATGTATAAGAACTTGAATCTAGAATATCGAAAGGACTCCTACAGTTCAATTATAAAAAAGACAAATGGGCAAACCCCTTGGGTCCCCTCCCATTGTGGAAGCTTTTCTGTCCTCTCAATAAATCCTGCTTTCTCTCTTTCAAAAAAACAAACAAACAACCCAATACCTTAAAAAGGAGGCAAAAGATCTGAAAAAATGCTTCACCAAAGAAGATACTAGCAACCTACCACCATTAGTCATATAGAAAATGCAAATTAAAATGATACTGAGACGCAACAAGACACCCATAGATACCACTTAAAAAGCTAAAAATAGTGACAACACCAGGTCTTGGAAATAGTATGGACAACCGGAACTTCTGAGAATGTAAAATGGTATAACCACTTTGGAAAACAGTTTGGCAGTTTCTTAAGAGTTAAACATATATACCTGGCACATAACCTAGGCACTCTACTTCTAGGTATTTACCCAAGAAAAATAAAAGTACTTGTCTACATTCAGATTGTACATAAATATTCACAGCGGCTTTACTGATAACAACTCCAAACTGGAATAACATAAATGTCCACAAATAGATAAAACGCCATTGTTTTGTTAAGCACTGGCCAGGTCAGGTGTTCTTTGAGCTTCAGCTGCCATATTTTCCTAGCTTTGTTCCCCTCACCTGGCTTGGGGAGGTGAATCTCCTCTTTCTACCTCTAATTTACTTTCAAAATAAACTATATTTTCCAATCTAAAAAAAGAAAAAAAAAGAACAACAGGTGAATGAGTAAACAAATTGTGGAATATTCAAAGTGAATACAATTCCACAATTAAAAGGAACAAACTATTGATACAAGAACAACATATTAAGATTATGCTGAGATAAGTCAGGCCAAAACTAAAGGTACATATTGTATAATTCCATTCACTTAACATTTTAGAAAATGTAAACTTATCTATAGCAATGAAAAGCAGGTCAGTGGATTAATTACAAAGGAGCATAAGGAAGCTCTTGGGGATAATAAAATGTATGCTATCTTGTTATTGTGGTGGTGGTTTCATGGTATATACATGTGTTAAGACTCATCAAATTATACATTTCACATATACACAAGCTACTGTGATCAATTATTCCTCAGTAAAACTATCAAAAACAAGTCCACAAGTTTCCAAAATTATTTCAAATAACCATTTATGACACTGTGAAAAGATAGCACCTGGCTTCAAAACGCCTCACAAATATTTAAGAAACCAGGAAAGGAAAAACATCCTTCTCAATCTTACCTGTTCATTGCACTGGGTAAGGGAGAAATAAAGAAAGATAGGAAAAAGGACTCACCCTTATCTCTTATCATGTCCCCAAACATATTTCAAGATACTTCAGGTGGATCCTTCCTATTCCTGGCTTAGTACGGATACTATAAAGTTGTTCAGGAAGTAACAGCTGACACAAACAAGGCCTAAGTGAAGGCACAATCCATTATAAAACATTTCTGTGGCAAAGCCTGAGAAGTACAAACACCTAGGAATAGTCATGTAACTCTGCTAGAAATACTATAAACTGTGAAGAGCCCATCTTGTCCAATAAACATTTAGCGGCTTAAAAAGAACTACATGAGACTGTCTTTATGCAGAAACCTAATTAATAGTTCTCCCAATATGTAATTTTTAAAAATTCTGTGGCTTTACATTACATTCACAGAGGGAGACTTTGAAGTTTCGAATTTTTCTTTTTTAAAATTTACCAAATGAAAAAAACAAGAGACATAGTAGTAATTTGCCCACAGCCATAAAACTATTAACTGTAATTGACAGAATTACTTCAGGACAACTTTATAACACCTAGTCTCTGTATTCTAAAATCTCTACTCACTACCATATACAACCATTAAAACTAAAAGCAATAAATAAAGCATATTAATTAGTTAATTAATTAGAGGAGATAGTCTGAGGGCAAGCCGATCACAAAGTTGCCATCCTGGCACTCATAACAGTAATATAAAGCAAAGACAGTGCTTGATGGTAGACTTTATAAATATTTGACAAAAGCAGCCTGTAGGATTCCCTCAAAATTATGCACTAACTGCTACGGTTCTGTTCCTGTTCTCTGAAAGGCCAAACTGCTAGAGAAAGTCAATAAAAATAGCTGCTTGTGCCGGGCTCGGTGGCCCAGCCTGTAATCCCGTGCCTTTGGGAGGCTGAGGTGAGTGGATTGCCTGAGCCCGCGGGTTCGAGACCCGCCTGGGCAGCGG